ACACTTTTTCACTGTGAGCATGGCTGGAAGTCTCCATCCTTGGAAATATTCAAAAGCGTTTTGGTCATGGTCCTGGGCAAGTGTCTCTAGATGGCTCTGTTTGAGCAGAGGTGCTGGACCAGATGACCTCCAGAGGTCCCACCCAACCTCAACCAGCCTGTGATTCTGAGGTAACTTCACATTTTTACTGAAAGCTGAAAAAAGCCCTACTGCAGTGGCCTTTCAGAGAGATCTCCACCCACAATGAGAACATGGGAATTTCTGGTACTCTTCAAGGTAAGAATTGCAGAGAATATTCACATGTATGTGTATGGCTGAATCCATTTATGTGCACGTATATATTGAAATCTCTGCACACTTATTCAGAAGAAGACATGAGAATTTGTTCTAAGTCCCGTTAGATGAAGGATCTCTTAATTGTTGCTAACAGGATATGGAGCACGTGTTCCTTACTGGTATTTTTGGGGCTTAATTATCATGTAGCTAAGGTTTTCTAGTGCTCATGGCTGCGAGATTTCATAGGAAACAGGTAAGTTAAGGTGCAGTGCACTCTGATGCAGTTTGAGAAGGGGTCAGTTCATCATTTCCTACGTTTTTTAAGTAATTCACATTTGAAGACTTACTGTCTTTGGTGTGTGCTGTTTTACACATGGTTGTTATCCTGAGGAGGCTTTAGCAAAACAGTTCTGCTCCGTTTAATCACTTTTGGCAGATCATTCTGCAAATGAACGTCCTTGACTGAAAGTACCGTCTTGCAGCTGTTTAGCCAAAGTGACTTGAGTTCACTTAAGGCCATAAGACAGAGTTGACAGTAATTGGCATCACTGTTTAGTGCAGTCAGCAGGGCGGCAGACGAATGAATGGATGTAGACTTTTGAGTTGCTCTCAGCTCATCAGAATAGGTTCAGGCAAGTGATGAAACAGATGTAGATGTCTACACTGTCTGCTTTCCATCTGTTTAGGAAATAAAGGCCTCAGTTCTCCCAAGCCATGTGTCCCCAAGCTGACCTGCAGTTCATTTTCAGTGTTTATTACTGTTATCAGCTTGTTTCAAATGTCTTCTTCTCTCCTTCCCCATGTGCCAGGTGCTAGAGAAGTGTGTTCCCTACTTTAAACGTGTAAACATTTGTGGCAAGCAACCACAAAAATTTACAAGCTCTTAAGTAGGGGCTGGAGCTAGAAGACAAGATACTTGAAGACACATTCTGTGTGTCATGCCATGCTTCATAATATTACTGAGACCTTCTTTATCTCAGCAAAATCATCACCTGAGTACCCAAGTGTGAGGTGATAGCCAATTTTGTCATGTATTGTTATGACAGAGCAACAGTGAGAATCTGTAACAGAGCTGGGATAATGCCATTGTTTTTATAGCTTGCATCTACTCTACAGTGAGTAATTTTACATTACAGAGCCCTACAGTTTGGTGCCATCCTTAAGTGTCTGGTAGAAAAGTGACTCAATACAGGCAGCAAGAAAATGAGGAGCTTTTAGTACTGCTCATACTTGGAGCCATTACTTAAGTAGGAGTATACTCCCATAGCTGTAAACAAATTTGGAGCCTTCCCAGTAATCAGGAGATAAATGGTTATGGTTTTCCTGAATGTAAACTAATTTGTGATTGTTTAAATTCCTAAGTTCTTGTAAAGGGAAGCAAAGGCTACCTTGAGTGCTAGAAATGTAATGACAACTGTAAATACAAACATCCTTGTACCTGGATTTTTGAAGTTGTAACCAATATAGCAAAAATAAATATGTTTAGGAAAATTGTATTTATTCAATTTTTTTTGTCCCTTGGAGATATGCCTTGGAGACACAGTAAGGTCCAGGGCACAAACAATGCTAAAATCTGTCAGTATGCAGAACAAAGTCTGTTTACAAGTCTGTGTCAGTATACTGGTTTGCTTAGCATCTGCATGTGCAGTCGCATATTCAGCTTCACAGTACTTACTGTCAGCAAACCAGTTATTAACAGCTTCATGTATATCCTAGAAAACTTAAATGTAGCTATATGAATGCTTAATTTTAAGCTGTTGCTTACAGCTTTTCAAGCAGGGTGACTTGTAGAATTTTAAATATGTATACATACAGCTAGGCAATGCTAATCTAAGCTCTTGCTTTGTATAAGATTAGTTGAAGTTTAATTACTACAAGCAGGAGAAGTTGAAACACATGAATCTTTACTAGTTCCTATGTAGTCATTGCTTTGCATTTTAATTCTTGCAAGGCCTTTTGCAGAAGGATTTCTTTCCTAGCCAAGAATATTCTTGTGTGCCTAAGTGGAAACATGAGAAGATTTATACCAGTACCAGATTGCTCTCTAAATATAGTCTCTTCCAGTGTCTATTTTAAACTAAAAGTGTCAAACTGGAGAGTTATTAGGGCAGTAACTGTACTTTGTTTGAAAAAGATGAGAGAACTTTGCACAGTGAAGTTGTCATATATGGAAATAAGATGAGTGGTATGTGTGGTTTGGATCACCACATGTAGGTAGAAACCCAAAAGCTGTAACTGATGTTTGTTCTTATATGAAAAAGCACTCATGAGTTTGGAGTAGACTTTACAGCTGGTGGGTGTTCCGGTCAAAAATAGAGTTACATGATCAATCACGCCTTACTAGCAGAGGACTCCAATCTTTTCCTATGCTGGGTCATCTAGATCTTTTTCTGTTAGTCAGCCTTTCCATTGTCACGTACCTTTTGTGCTGTTTCTTTTTGTTATGCCATTTTGTGTTTTCTGTTAATTCTGCATCTAGAAGGGGACTTCACTGCTATGCCTCTAGTCAACCTGCAACTTAGTCCACTATTTTTAGAAGAAATGACCTAGCAACTCACTGCAAGATTGTGTGTGGCACCCATGTGTCAGCTTTGTTCGTTACTGAAGAGAGAAAGTGAGAAGAAAAGAAGAGCTATAGGTGAAACCCTGAGCAGTAGAAGTTTCAGAATAATTTCCATGGTTTGAAAATGTTCAAATGATTCTGTAGGAAGAGAAAAAAAAAATAAAACAAAACAACCAAACCTTAATTTTGAAACTTGCTGGAAAACGAAATTTTTGCCTGCTGGACATCTGCACTGGCTGAACCCCCTCTCTGAGGCCTTTTCTATTTTGGTTTCTAATTTCTAGTTTATTTAGCATGTGTATGACATGTATCATAGTGCAGTAAACTCTCTGAGAGGGAAGAGTGGCAGTCTGAAGGATCTTCATAGTAATGCATTGCTCTAACCTGATAGAAGAAGGCAGCCTTCAAGATCTTTTGGAGAGAGATGTTTACACGGTACCTGCACAGTGGGTCTGTACATTTTACTGGTGCATGGGAAATCTGCTCCAGGGTTTCCATTAGTGCTCCTAAACCATTGAGCTACTGACCTGCAAAGGCATGGATGAGTCTAGAGCGACAGAAATTTTCTCAAGTCACGAAGGCATTAGATAGATCACAATGAATCTCTTGAGAGAGGGATGCTGAAGGAGTCTAGGTCAAGAAGGAATTGATATGCACCATGGAATTTTTATACTTAACCTAGAGTTATGGCTCTGCTTTTTAAACACTTCAGCTCTTCCAACATTTTATGGAGGTGAATCGTCAAAAAACAAACCTTAATATTTTCCCAGAAAACCATGAGAATTATAAAAATTATTAAATACTGAGCCCTGTAACCCAACTCTTTCTGCTGCCCATCACCTGTAGCTGATAGTAACAGCCTTGTGTCAGCAACATGTCTGCAAGGACCCATAACCAAAATGCAGTAACCTGTGAGGGAGGATGGACCTTTTTATATATTGAAAAGCTGCAATAACATTGCCCCAGGACCTTTTCTTCTCCAGGCTGAAAAGCCCAACTCTTTCAACCTGTCTTCATACGAGAGGTGCTCCATCCCTCTGATCATCTTTATGGCTCTCCTCTGGACCCACTCCACAGGTCCATGTCTTCCTTGTTCTAGGAACTTCAGCATACAGTTGGCTTTCTGGGCTGCGAGTGTACATTGTCAGCTCATGTGCAACTTTTCCTCCACCAGTATCTCCCCAAGTCCTTCTCTGCAGGGCTGCTCTCAATCCAATCATCCCCCAGTCTGCACTGATACTGGGGATTGGCCCAAATCGGGTGCAGGACCTTGCACTTGGCCTTGAACTTCATGAGGTTCATGCAGGCCCTGTCCCCAACTGTGTCAAGGTCCTTCTGGGTGGCATCCTTTCCCTCAAGCAAATTAATGCCACCACTCAGCTTGGTGTCATCTGCAGACTTGCTGAAGGTGCACTCAATCTCTCTGCCTATGTCACTGATGAAGATATTAACCAAAATTGATCCCAGTACGGACCCTTGAGGAACACCGCTCATTACTGGTTTCCATTAGGACATTGAGCTCTTAATTGTAACTCTTTGTATGTGGACATCCAGCCATTTTCTTATCCATCATGTAGGCTACCCATTAAATCCCTATTTCTCTGCATCAAAGATTATTCCCAGGATCTGTGAGTTTTCTGAGGTTAACAAATGGCTGCTATTTTTTAATATAATAAATAATATCTGACTTATCTTGTGCAGGCCCTGAATTTTATTGAAGTTCATTTTTATGTTCAGCTATGCTACCAAGTTTCTTTCATAGCTGGCACAGAAATATACTGCAATAGGTCCGTCCGATGAGTACAGACCTGTTGTAGTATACTTGTAGTATACATAATTTGATTGCGGTGGAATTTTCTTTCTGTTTGTTTACACACTTCATTATTAGGATTACATCTGTTTGCATGATCTGTTGCCCAGGTTTCCACATGTTATAATTCTATGACAACACTTGTGCTAATACACAGTATGACCATATAGACAAACTAAAAGGAAAGCTTCAGCTGTCCTGGAGCAGAAAGTGTATTCCTCCTTTACAAGTAATGTTTACTAAAAGGCCACCCTGAGGCTGAATTCTGGCACTTAAATCTGAGCTGTTGTGGACGGGCATTCAAAAAGGTGAGGTGTGATTTTATCTGAAAATTTAAGCCATGATGCTACAATGGGAATCTCCTTCACCATTGCTGCTGCAGAAGAAATAAATGATAATGTTAACCAGCTGCTCTCAAAGTGTGGCCAGTTTGGTTTAGCTCAAGTTTGTTTTGATGTCAGGAACTCCAGAAGAAGGGTAAATATCTTCAAAAATTGGCCCACAGTTTCTTTTCAATAACAAAGACTTGCTAAACAATTTCATTGTCCTGTCATATGTCCATGTACACTTTTTCCCTGAAAAGAAAGGAAATTAAATATTCCCAGAAGGAAATGTGGAAGTGAGGGATTTTGGATGTCCTGGAGATTCAGCAGAGGAGTAAGGAAGGTAATGAGCCTGGCGGAAGACACTGCATTTATGGACTGTGCAGGTCACCAGCTGTCGCAAGCCTGCGCACTGTGTTGTGCAGGTGGGTGCCTGGTGGGGAATGTCTCCATGAGTTTTAACCATGAAAATTGCTCAGTAGGGAATGGCAATGTCTGCCTCACATCCTGCAACAGAGGACTCCTTTCCTTTCTAAATGAAGTTGCTTAATGCTTTTTATGACACATTTCCTCCCTGCCAAAGAGTGACATTAAATGCCAAGAGGTCTACATGAAGGTGGAGCAGGTTTCAGCAGCTGCCAGGCTTCTGCCTGTTGCTAATGAGTCCATCTGCAGGCTTCTTTGCCATATAGTTATTTTACATCATCTGGCAGCAGCCACAGGTTTTGCTTGGTATAAAAGGTAGCTTGTACTTACAGTTTCTCTCCAGTGATCCACTGGCAATTCCTCGGGCCATGATTAAACAAAGTTTTCAGTTGATACTGTTTGTTTTCGACTTTTGTATCTGATGCAGAAGTTAAGTCTTTGCATAATACTAAATTACTTATTGAGGGAGATACAAAGAAGTAACTACAGGTTTATTCTCCCATTAAATAGCTGAGCAGAGTTTGAGCTACTCAGTTAGGTCAGTTTTCAGTAGGGATCTGTGGGTTTGATTTTCTCCTGACTGGGCTTCATGTGGCACAGAGATGTAGAGGAGGAAAGCAGGTCTAACATTTGTTGTATGATTCCCCTGCTGGAATCAGTGTATATTCTCCTGAAACAGCTTGGTTCACGAGTCTGAGAACCGCAGGAAAGCAGAGCCATGTTCCTGCCCAGAGGGTTACAAGGGCACTTCTTGAGGCCAGTTTCCTGACTTTAATACTCTATACTTTGCCTTAAGAGTCAGAAGCATAAAAAAGAAACAATTCCTTTATTTGTAAATATAGAAGATATTGCAGACTTTGATTTATTTTTTTAAATGGATTTCTAGATAGCCAAGATAGAGGAAAAAAAAAGTAATCCTGTGGAAAAGGAAATAAACCAGAGCACTTTTAAAAGCAAGGAAATAACCATGTATATGAATGTCTCCTTGGTTGCTTTCCTTGTGTTGCATGCTGTATCCCTTGCTCTGTGTGCTTTTTTGATTCTTAAAAATTTGCAGAAAATGTAGTTACCTATTTGCATGTTGTACTAAATTAACACACACCCGTCATTATAATTTTTCCTTTTCAAATAAAAAAAAAACCAATCCAAACCAAATAGCAAAGTCTGGTTGCAGTGATCTTGTGAAATTACTTTTTTGCTAAATTATGAATGTGGATATTTTTATCCTTAGGTGATTGCTGTATACTACGTCGGCTTGAACCAGTTTCTTGGTAGTGTTAGATACCTGACTTTTAAAGGCTGGTGTGTGAGACCATGAGTTTTCCACCCTCAGAGCACCCACAGTTACAGGAATAGTGGCTCACTACTTTGGGTTATTTCAGTATCACACATTGAAAAGTTGTCTTCTTTTTTCTTCCCCCCAAGTTCCCAATGGTCATAAATATTTCCCTTGTTTTCCGAGATAAAACTTGGCAAGCATCTGCTCTTGTGGCCTAGTTTACTGTCAGCTTTTGAGATGGGGAGGAGGAACAGCAGCTCTGGGATTTTCAGCTTCTCTGTGCTATGGAAATGGGTCTTTCTCCTGCTCCACATTAAAGGGAGAGGCTGGGGACCATGTTCAGAAAGCTGAACTGATAACACATTCCATGGCAACTGTCTCTTGTGTATGAGTTGCAGTGCAGCTGTCAATGTTATGTGAGTAATAGCTTGGAGCAGAGGCTGGAAAAGACAATCCTACATTTCCACTTTTAAGAGAACGGCAGCATATGTGTGATATTTGAACCTAAAAAGAAAGTTGTGGAGCTAGTCTAATCACTTGTTAACATGTAATAAGGAGTAATCTGCCTCTGTAATCCCAGAGATGCCCATTGATACCTCTTGGGCGAGTACAACTGCAAATTTCTTCTGTCAACAGCGAGCTTTCTCTGTGGGCAGGCAGCACAAGTTCCTGCCTCTGCAGGGTAACAGGCGAAAACTGGTGGGATCAGCTGCCAGGACAAGTTTCTTGACACCAGAAACAAAGCAGTGAGTCACTGCCAATGACCAGCCAAGCATGCCAGGGCTCCAGCCAGCACTGTCAAGTGCAGAGAGCAGTGTATGGGAGCACTCGCATGCACACAGAGCAAGCTCCTGGATCCAGTTCCCCCCCAAAGGCTGCGTGTTTGCAGAAAATACTTCTCCAGCAGCGAATGCCCTGTTCCTGGGGAAACTGTAAACATGCAGAAAATGTGCTGGGACCAGTGCTGAATGTGTTCATTGACTCTGTGTGAAATTTGGTAACACCTTCAAGCGTTCCAGCATTTGCTTTGTCTCAGATAACTTCTGAACTATACTTTATGGCACACACAACACTAAAAGCCTTTCTCAGGAAAAATGACTGTCTTTAGACCACACAAAGCTTGGTAGATAGGGCAAAGCAGGGTTTATTTTCTCAGTAGTTTCTTTTTATTTAGAACAAATACATGCTGCTCATCTGTTGATACAGTCAATACCATAACCAGCTCAGGCAGTCCTGCACACTGAAAAGCAGGGACGGGGAGGGCACAGGGGGGAGTATCTTCATGTGCTGGTTTTGCACTTAATTCTTCCCTGAGCACCCATCTGGGACCACTGTTGGGTACTAAGAGCCAGCTGGGAGGATGTTGGGTTGGATCTCCTGGGCCTTTTGATGACATTGTGAAAAATAAATTAGGGTGCACATTTGCAAGGGAACTGTGCCCTCTGGGTAGTGTTAAGTGCCCAGTGGGATTTGGCAGCCCAAGTGCATGAAGGTAAATGAATCTAAATGGTCTTTTATGGATTCATCTGAATTTCATTGACATCTGTGTGATTACCTTAAGATATTTAGCACATAAAGTAACTAGAAAGGGGCCTAATAGACTTAATAATCTATTAGGTGAAAACCAAATAATAATTAATAAAAATCTAATGAGGGCCCTTAAACTCTGATACTTTGGAAAGTAAGTAAGCTTTTACTTACTTTGGCAGCGAAATTGGAGTCAGTGGTGATATTCTGGAGGAAACAGTGTCATGAACTGGCAGGGTCAGATTGATAGATTTTTTTCCAATGACCAGTTTATAGCTCAAGTGCTATTTCTATCTTGATAAATGTGTCTTATATAGATCAAATACAATCTTATAAATGCCCTTGCAAGTGAATGCCTGAGGTTCATACTAAATATTTACTGGAATGACATTACAGTAAGTGCTGAAATTTGCCGAAAGTTTTACTTCTGAAGTCAACTAGGAAAAAAAAAAACCCCAAACAGAAATATTTGGGGCCTGTCTGAGCACCTGTGATGGCAAGTGCCCCTGGGCAGCTGGGGAGCGTGTGAAGTGGCTGCTGGAGGAATTTATTTGTTGACCATTGCCTAGTGAGGGGAAACAGAGAGGCCACCACAATGTGAGAGACATGTGAAGAGTGGACTGAGCCAGACAGATGACAAAGCCCTGTGCATGTTCAGGGTGACATCCGATGGCTTGAGAGGAATTCAGATGTTTAAGGTGGTTCACTGACTTGGACTCACTCCCAAAGAAGAATTTGACTGGCTCTTTAAACTAAAACAAAAAGCCCAGTGAAGCTAAAATGTATCAGAACTCTGTTGATTACAGTCAGCAGTTAGAAACCTTGTGCAAAGCAAAATACTGGGTTTTAAATCTCCTAAATGACTAAACATTCATGACATTAATAGGCGTCTGTTTTTTACTGTTCCCTTAGACTGGAGTTCGCACAAGGAAGTGTTTTTTGCTTTGGATACCAAGCCATTCTTACAAACATAATTCTGGGTAGTCCAAATGTCTTGCTTGGAGCCAAAGTTCCACAACTGAATCTCCTTCCAATACTAGAGGCTGCAGCTACTGAGGCAGAGGGGAGGGAGCCATAGGGCATCAACTCCTCCCCACAGAGGCCCACAGCATCCTATAAAATGCTTTGTGATCTTCTGAATTTTGGGACCAGCACTAAATTTATCAGTGCCCAGTTTTCCACAATCCCTGTAAAAAATGTAAGGTCATTATGGGATTAACGAGTACATGCAAGGTATTTTTTTGGAAAAAAAACCCAACAAAAAAACCCACAAAACAAACAAACAAACAAAACAAAAACAAAAACAAAACCGAAACAAAAAAAACCCAAACAAAAAACAAACAAAAAAAAACACAAAAAAGAAAACCAAACCAAACCGAAACAGAGCAAACTTTAATTCCTGCCTTTTGATTTGTATCATTTCATATTTTTAAGATCCTCACTCAACAAAAAGGGATAGAGAGTAATAATTGAAGAAGAAAAAACAAAGCTCGGAGTAGCCTTGAATAGTTGTATTCTAGTCTTCCTTGGCTGCGAAATTAACCTCCTATTTAATTTTGCTGGTTTTAAGAGTTTCTGTTTAAAGGTACCCAGCCAAATGTCATCATTCATGTTTTTTGAATGGAGCGCCTTTAAAGGAGTAGGGTTGTGACTAGAGCCCCCATGCTCAGCTACCCATGGATGTACTCTACCACTGAGCATGAGTATGTATCATTCAAAGTGTACTTTCTGCTTGAAGGGAAGAGGCAGGAATCTGGGTCCATTATACTTGAATGAAAAATCCTTTGGCAGACACCTCTGGACATAAGGGATTTGGTACCTAGTGAATGTGATGGTGCAACAGGTTCTACTTAAAGCTCAGATGGCAAATGTAGATTTCAGGATTAAATGTACAACTACTTTCCATTCCCTTAAAATGTTCATGAGATGTTTTAGAGATTACCGTTATCTAACCTGGGGCTGTTTTGATAAACCCTTGATAAACCCCATTCTCCAGTTCCGTGGATTTTGGCACGCTCTGCCTTGTACACACTCACACATGTCTTCAGTTGCTACCACCTGCCTGCCAGGCAGGAATGATGTACAGGACTGCAAGCCTAGAAGCATCCCTGGTAAACTGAAGCTGCTAATGTTGATCTTTGAAATGTCTGACTGATGGATGCAGTTTTGCAGAGCTCCAGGAAATATTAGCAATGGTCCTGGTGGTTGTGATGTTCAGCATCAATAGATGTATTCCTTGGCTGCAGGTTTAGTTGTTGCAGATGCTGCATCTTCACCATTCCATGTTCCTGGTACAGGAAGAAACCTGCTGGGCAGAAAATGAGTCACTGAGGCTGCTTTCTTGCTTAGAGTAGATTACTTGAGAGTGGCCATTGAGAAAACACAGCAGCAGCAAAGGGGCTGCCACAGCAGCAGTGGTGGTAAACTGTTCACAAGACAGCAAGCTCCAGCAGCTTTTGGAACTGATGGTATGGCTAGGCTGGTGCCCTCATGTGACCTACCAGGTTGCTGTTAGCACCCATCAGGATCTGATTAGTTCACGTGTAAAGCACTTTCTGTAGCCAGCTATTTCAGGACATGGTTATAAATATGTACCTCATCTGTTAGGAGCTCTGTTTGTGACATGAGATCACTGAACAGCCCACCATGAGCCTGCTAGTCATCCTAACGATTCTCGTGTAAAAAAGGAGTATAAAGGGAAAATGGTTAAAGGAAAGCAGGAAACTGAACTCAGTCAGGAGTTCAACTTCTGAAGCCAGTGAAATCAGATAAGTATTTCAAGTATTTTTTCAGTCTGTGTAGGACCTAGGGCCCAGGTGAGTATGAGAGTAAACACAATTTATATAGGAAAGCACATTTACTACTTTCCTTGGAGGAACAAGACTTGTGTGCAACGGTTACATTTTGTTAGTTAATCTAATGTAGCTGGGAAAAGAGACAAGCATTTAGGTAGATGAGCTGTTCTTTAGGGTAGTGCAGTACACCATGATTTGGCAGACACAGAGTGAGCAGATCCATACTTGTAGACAAGTTTCGCTTTTATAGTCTTTCATTGAGTGAGTCCCTGTGGTTGCAGATGCACTCCAGAAGGCTACTGGTTGAGGGTTTTTCTTTCCCCATGGGCAGTGCTGCAGCCTGGCTCAGTAGCCAGCCTGCATGCTGAGATCCTGCTCCTTCATGCACCTAAGCCAAGTCATGCTGGGCAGGCTTCTGTTCCTGCTCACCTTGGCTCCAAGGCTCGCTTGTCCTCTCCCCCCACCCCGCTGCTTGCTGTGACCAGAGTATTCCTGCTTCCCTGGCTGAGGGCAGGTTTTGCTTAGATGTAAGCACCATGGGCTTTTAATTTAACCCCTTTGGATCATACCAAGGATGTTTCTCAACCACAAATTCTTTGCTTTTGAAGCAGAAAAGCATGATCTTCCAGATTAGTGTAAATCCTGACATGCAAAAACCAAATCAGGATTG